GTGTGTTTATTGTGTTTCAGTGTAAAATGTATACAGTGAGCCACAGAAAATTTGAAAGGGGCTTGAAGGCTATGGTAAAGATCCTAGACATTATTCTAAATATGACAGAACACCACTAGAGAAAGCAAAGGAATAGAGAAATGACAAAATCTACTAAAACCCTTAAAACAGGTGTGGGGAACATCCAGCCTATGGGCCATATAATAAGGCCAGAGAAATCATTTGGTCTGGCCCTGCCAAAGCATTAGGGATGAGGTAATTAAATGACCAAATACAGTAGGCTAATTTTTAAGTTGATAATTCTGTATGGCCCGTGAATGATGTTATAAATATCCAATGGCCCTTAGCAGAAAAAAAGGTTTCCCTCCCCTGCTTTAAAAGGATTACTTTAACTTCACACAAACTATTTATTCATTCAAAGGAGAAGATAAATACTGGGTGACTGGATGTTCCAAATTAAAGGAGAGTAAAGAAATATCACAACTAAATGTAATATGTGACATGGGAATGAATCCCCAATCAGGGGAAAAATTGTTAAAAGTACATTATTTGATCAATTGGTAAAATTTGAAAATGGACTCATGACATTAATGTATTGTATCAAAGTTAAATTTCCTGAATTAATATTTAAAAATGGGAGTAAAGAGACATGGCATGTGCAACTCATTCCTAAAATGTTTCAGCAAAAAGAAGAGGTGGGAAAGCAGAGAAAAAATAAATGTGGCAAAACGTTAACATTTGCTAAAATCTAAATGAAGGATATTGTTATAGGCTGAGCTGTATCCCCTCACAATTCACATGCTGAAGTCCTAACCCCTAGTACACAGAATGCGACAGTATTAGGAGATAGAAGTTAACACGAGGTCAAAGCGTGGGTCCAAATCCAGTATGTCCTCCTAAAGGAGATTAGGATTAGGACACAAATACATGCAGAGGGAAGACCACATAAAAACAAAGGAGAAGCCACCTATAGTCAGAGAGAGTGGCTTCAGAAGAAACTAACACCGACCTCAGACTTCTAGCCTCCAGAACTGTGAGAAAACAAATTTCTGTTAAGGCAGCCCTAGCAGGGGAATTATTATGTAGCTTAATTTCTAATATGGTCAAATTTGATAGATAAAATTTGATAGATAATCCAAATAAACAGATTAAGTACCCAAAGGCACTTAAGAATGTAAATAGGTCCTGAGACCAAAAAGCTTGAGAACCATTGGTTTAGATACTTTCTAAAAGTATTTTCTTCCTTTATAACTTTTGATCCTATCTTTAATCTTTTTGAAAAAGTTAGTGTATCAATTATGTACTAATTAGTATAGTCTTTTCTACTAGCTTTCAAAATGACACTAATCTAAAAGAATTATTTCCTGTTTGTAACACCTCTGTTTCCTGTATAACTCACTGTAATTTAAATTTTTAAAATAGCCTATCACATTCTGACTGCTCAAGTCTACAATCTGATCACTATAGGCCAGTGTTGTCCAACAGAAATAAAATGCAAGCCACATACATAAATTTTAAGTTTTCTACTGGCCACATTAAAAAGTAAAAAGAAACAGAATAAATTAACTAAATAAAATTATTAATATGTTATTCTTTTTTCGTGCTACTTCAAAATCTGGTTGTGTATTTTAAATTTACAAGACATCTCAGGTCAGAAAAGCCACGTTTCAAGTGCTCAACAGCTACGCTGTGGCCAGTGGCTAATACTTTACAAAACATATCGAACACAGCTCTGCTATAGACAGAGGCAAAAATACTTCATCTTCAAATGCACTTGAATTCTGATTCAAATTTTACACCCGTGACCACATCTTATTACTTTTCTTCTTCAGTTCTGATATTTAATATTTCTATTTTGTGCTGCTGCATATATTTATGGAACACTTTACTTTCCAAATGCTAACCCTGATTTACATTTCTTTCAGGAAATTTTATATTTTGAGAAATCTGTCATTTACAATATAGAGTTTTGACCTTTTGTTACAGTATTTTTTCCTAAAACTATAAGGACATATATTGATCTTTCCACATACAGATCATTTTGAATTATCCAAAGTCAAGACAAATGAAATCAAGAAAACAGAACTTGAAGTAAACATTGCAGAAAGAAGTGCAACTGTCAATAAAGTACTACAGGAGTCCTGAAGTGGATGTGGTACTGAACCTGCAACATATTACAGTCTCCTTCCTCCATGACAAGCCAACTTGTACCCTCTTTTTTAAATTACTCATCTGTTCCATGCTTCTGGGTCTATTGAGTTCACCAGTGCATTTTGTTCATTAGATTCCACATATAGTGAGATCATGTGATATTTGTCTTTCTGACTGGCTTATTTCATTTAGCATAATAATCTCCAGGTCCCTCTATGTACTTCCTTTTTACTGCTGCATAGTATTCCATGGTGTAAATGTGCCACAGCTTTTTTATCCACTCATCCACTGATGGGCACTTGGGCTGTTTCCAGATTTTAGCTATTGTAAATAATGCTGCTATGAACATACATTCTTTCTGATTGGCTTAGGGATTCTTATGATATATTCCTAAAAGGGGGATCACTGGGTCAAGCAGCAGTTGCAGTTTTACCTTTTTGAAGAAACTCCATACTGTTTTCCATAGTTGTTGCACCAGTCTACATTCCCACCAGCAGTGTACTGGGGTTCCTTTTTCTCCACATCCTGGCCAGCTCTTGTTGTTTGATTTATTGAAGGTAGCCATTCTGGCAGGTGTGAGGTGATACCTCATTATCATCTTAATTTGCATCTCTCTGATGATTAGTAACGTTGAGCATTTTTTCATATGTCTCTTTGACAACTTTTAAAACCTGTATCTGAGACAAGGCCCTAAAACATCTACCTTTGAAAGCTAATGGGGCTTGCATCCACAAGACCCACAAAGCTATAATGAACTGAGAAATGATTCTTAAAGGGCTCTCACCCCAAAGTCCCATGCAGACTGCAAAGCACCCAGACTTTCTGTGAAAGGCTTATTTGCTCATCTTAAAACACCGGCATGAGATGCAAGCATCTAATTTAATACATATCTAGGAGCAACGGTTCATCACCACCAGACCAGCCTACAAGAAATGTTAAAGGGACTTCTTCAAGTTGAAATGAAAGGGCACTAAGTATAAATATCACCGATAAAGGTAAATACATAATAACTTTTGAAAGAATCTAACACTGTAAAGGTGGTGGGTTAAACACTTATAAAACTAGTATAAAAGTTAAAAAAATAAAAATAGTAAATAACCATAACCACAAAAGATGTAAATAAACAAAACATGAGTGGTGGGAAAGAGAGAAGTACAGATATAGAAGTTGTAAGAGTAATTATTTAATTTTGGTACAGCTTCAATTGCACTTCTGCCTAGTCACTGGTCTGCCATTCCACCTCATTTGTCTAAGTAGGTGTATAATCAAAAAGTACTCATTTTTGTAAGTCCTTTGAGTACTGTAAAGACCAGCCACTAGTTAAAGGAAGTTAAGTATAAAGTTAAGTATCCAAAAAACACTAGGAAAGGTTAGTGAGTGAATCAAATTCCCATGACACTATTGACCTTGCTTCCCTAAATTTTTGCTAAAATTCACTTTCCCCTCAACCTCTACAAGACAAAGAAACACAGTAGGCCAAAATTGGCAGAAACTTTTAAGACTTTTCTTGACCTACATCAAAGACTGAGAGGTCTAAGAACAAAAGACCAAACTGTTCTCTTTTCTATTGGTTTTGCTTGGACTTAGACTCCCAAAGTCCAACTCTTTGGTTTAGTAGTAAGACTAAACTAATTTCAACATGCAAAGTTCGAAATTAGCCACTGATTTTCTATGAAGGCATTCTCACATGAACAACTCCATGAAACATGGCCATAGTTATATAGTATTAAGTAATGGTTAATGATTCCCCTAAGCAAATATATCTCATAACGTTCTAAAATTTTTTAAAAATTTACATCTACAAAGCTGAGCACCACACCCTGTAATACAGGAATTACAACAAGCCAGTCCAGACAGCATTCTTCAGTACCTAGATGCACACCTCTCAAAGCTTTTGAACAGAATGTAATTTTAAAGAAAAATTAACCAGCTTACATATTTATGGCATATCAGAAAGAGAGGAGGGGAAAATCCCAAAAGGAGTCAAATAAAAATTCTAAAGTGAAGGGGGAAAAAACCCCAAGAAAATGTTAAATCACTTGATATAGAAGAGTTTCCTAAGTTTATAACAGGTCACACAAATCAATAAGAAATACTAAAATAAATAAAATTCTTCACAAAAGAATAGTCAAAAGTTAAAAAAAAAACAAACCCCACTAACAATATTCTATATTTTGCACACCAATTAGAGATTCAACAAAAAAACTGAAGGAGAAGCAAAAAATGTAGTAAAACAGGCAATAACTATAAACACTATTAATGAGAATATAAAGTAGAAATCAACTTGTCATGACTTAGTCAATGACTCCTTAATTTGACTTCTGTAACTCTTTGAGATAAATAACCCTGAATATAGAAAAGGCTTCATGTAAAAGGGGATTTGCAAAAACAGCATCATCAATAATGCAATTCAAAAAAAATCATTAAAGATGTATACCATTATTTGTACGACCACTACATACACACACATGAACACCAACAATAACAGTACAGTATAATCCAACCATTAAACTAGAGATTGAAATAACATAAGCGCAAAAAGAAATGCTATGTCCTAATGCTAACTGAAAAAAGTCATGAAATTATTATACACTTTAGGGATAACTATATGTAAAAACCTGCATAAACAAAGCCAATTGAAAGATATTAAATATGCAATAGTACCAAAACAATACATTTTTAAATTGTGGGTGATATGATAAAAAGTTGCCACTTTATGGAGAGATGATATTTATAACACAGCCAGTAACTGCTAATCAAGTCATCTTATATTTGTTCAATCAATTATTATTTCATCTGAGTAACTTCTATTTCTTCACAAATTTTTTAAATCATTATCAAGAACTTACCACATGAGTAGTTTTTAATGTGTTGCCATCAAATCTGCATAAACTGGAACTCTCTTCAAAGAAAATATCACATTCTTCTAACTCTTGAGCATTACAAGGAGGTTTTCCTTTATCGGGATCTGGATTCTTAAACCAGAAAATAAAGTAAGTATAGAAACAACAGGAGAATGAATTTCTTCATACTTGAAAGTGTTAATATTACAACAAAAATTAAAAACTAAATTTCAGACTCATGACTAATGAAAACTTAATCAACAGACAGAAATTATGGAATCAGCAACAGGTATATTGAAACAGCTATTATAAACAAAGCCTATATATTCAAAGATGTAAAGTAAATATGTCCAGAGAGTTATGGAAGATATAAAATGGAACTAAATTTATTTAAGATAGAATTGAGAGCTGATTAGACATTTCAGAAGACCAGTGAGCTTGAAACATAATAATTGAGTCTATCTAAATTGAAACAGAGAAGAAAAAATAAAAACACAGAATCCCGTTGACCTGTGGAACAGTATCAAGTGGTCTAATTAATATATGAGTAATTGAAAAGGGGAAGAATGGAAACAATTTTAAAGAAATAATAGCCCAATTTTTTTTTAATTTGATGAAGACTACTCCTATAGATTCAAGGTCAAAGCTGGGATGTGGAGCCACCTAGTTGTGGTTGTCTGTTCCAGCTGAAATATCAATGGAAACAATTCTGGTTGTTGTGGCTGGCTGAGAAGCAATTAGCTGGGGCCACTATTACCCTGACTCAAGAAGATACACATGTCCAGGGGGATAAAGAAAGACCCCCCACACTCCTTCCTCTCTTCCCCTTTCAACTACCCATATGTTAGAGATAGGAAGGCAAAAATGAAAACTTCAGGACTGCCAAAGCAGCCAGTACTGAACTGGACAAGATTACAGAGAAAAGGGGGTGGGATCGGGGTGGAGGGAGTCTTTCGGGGGGGTGGGGGGGGAGAAGAGGGGAATCTGTAACATTTTCAACAATAAAGATAAATTTAAGATAAACAAAATGGTATATAGCACATACAGTTATGTACAGTACTTAATACTTGATAACGGGAATAAACTATGTTACTAATTTACAAGTTTACTGTACTATACTTTTAATTATTTTAGACTGTACTCTTTCTACTTATAAAATGTTTGCTATAAAACAGCATGCCATGTTACACCAGCAGCAGCCTCATACACCTGGTGCTTACTGCATCACGACTGCGTCATTATCTTGGTTTAATCTCGTGTTGATTTGCACAGTGACATGTTGTAGAGGCTGGTAGCCTAGGAGCAACAGGCTATGCCACCTAGGTGTGTGTAAGTGCACTCTATGATGTTTGTATATTTAAGCCATTAAACACAATATGAAATCGCTTAACATGGCATTTCTCAGAACGTATTTCTGTGATTAAGTGCGGGCATTTTTGTGTGCGTACATGTAGAGAGATACATACATACATGCTCCTCTACCCTACACTACACAGCATGCCCTCCCCCCATATATATGTATTCAAATAGTGCAAAGAATGGAAATTGGAATTTTAAGCCATATTCAAACACCAGTCAGCAATACTTAATCTGTATCCTTTACCTTAGAAAAGCAAAATAATGTTTGAAAACCTAGCATATCCTCATCTCTCTGATCCTTAGAAAGTGAAAATACTATTGTGATTGTTTACCAGTTGTTCAGAGGTCAAATGCATCAAACGTTCAGCTATTGCAGCACATTGGGCTGAGTCTCTTATAAATTCCCCTTGCTTATCACCAACTACTAGCTCTGGCCACGTCAGTCCTTCATTCTTCTTAATCAAGGAAATCTCCAAGCTAGAAGTTTAAATGAGAAAAGTAATATTATATTAAAGCAACTATGCAAATTATACAACTAATACCAAGAGAAGAATCTTCCATAGAAATTACCGCTCCAGTGTCCAGAAGATGTTTTACCAAATACTGTGTTCATTTTAGTTCTGTATATGAAAAATCTGTAATTTAAGGATAGGTAATTTAGATGTAATAAACAAATAAGAAAGTACCATTGGAAATGGTATATCAAATGGCTTGATGAGAGGAGTAGTTGGAAAGAGTAAGGCAATCCAGAAAGTATTGTTGTAGTCCAACTGTGTGGTATGTTACCAAACTTTAGTAACAGAAATGCAAGTAGCACACATCTAAGATATTTCATTGGGCAATGGTGGGGATGGGTACATAAAGTTAACTGGAAAGGGCCTATAACTAAAGGTACCTCTGTGTGTGTGGAACCAATTAACTTTATTTCACAAACTAGTAGCCATCATATATAATTATTCACCTAAAGACCAGGCAAGTTAAATCAATACAAAAGTTACTTCTCAAAATTCAGATTTTAAAGAACTGAAAAGAAATGTAGGATTTAGAAAAATAATAACTTTGGTAAAACAGGAACAAAGTTAATATGGTCTCTATCAACTAAAAGTCTAATTCTGTACATTTAAGCCATTAAACACAAATTCCAAATGTACTAAAAAGGGCCTATCGAGGAATCCTGAGATTAAGGTCTGATGCAGCAGTAAAGGGAGAGAGAGCTGAGTCAGGCCAACAGTGAACACAGGAGGATAGGGAGTTGCCATGTGCCCCTTGAATAGGAAGGGCAATCCAAGTAAGCTGCTTTGGGAGCAGCTGGTGCTGTGATACAGAGGAAAGTAGGGCGGGAGCAGCCTTTCCATGTGCCACCTTTCGTACACGTGTGCCACATTAACCCACACCCTGGAACACAACTGCAAGCAAACAATTGCAAGAACATAATAACTATTACCGTAATTATCAAATAGAACATGCAATTTGTCAACTATTCTTTTTCAAGGCTGTTATCACTACCTCATGAATTAACTACAGCACTTTAAAATTTTCTGAAACTACTTAAAGAGATTATACAAAATATCTTATGTAATATGAATTCCTGTCATTAGCATTAAAATTACCACCACAAACAATAATGCCCAGGTTTAGTTATATTTTCTAAAGAGAAAGCTAATCTTGATGATGATGATAAAGATAATAATAATAAAAATGACAATAGCTTATACTGACCAGGTGTTTACCATATTCCAAGTGCTATCTTAAGCACTTTACATGTTTTGATTCATTTAATGCTTACCACAACCAAATACAGTACATACTATTATACAAGTAAGAAGAAAAGCACTGAGGTTAGAAACTTGCCAAGGTCACAGGCTAGTAAAGCAGTCTGGCTCCAACTCCATGTTCTTCACGACTGCACTATTCTGCCTCTCTGCAAAAATATATGTAAACAACTACTAAAGAACTTTACCCAGGGGCCAGAAAGTATACTGTTCTTAGTCAGTTGCTACCTAAAGAAGTTAGAGTTCATATAATCTCAGTTGTAAAAAAATTCTGATCCATCACGAAATTGGCACAACTGCATGTCTACATTTTAATACTAGTATCAAATCCTGCCATTCAAGCCAAAAGGAACATAAAACCCCATGCATAATAAACTGTAGACTAGTTATGCTTACAACGTGAAAAGGAGCATTATTTGAAAATGAGATACAGATAATTTAATCAACTACAGAAAATTGTGTGCTTTTAAACCGATCCCACCTTCACATCATTGTAATTACCTTTTCTAACATAAAATAGTAACCTAGCAAGTCAGACTCCATGGGAAACAATACTGGACATACTGGATTATGGTCACGTATTAAATGCTTGAAACAATCTGCATGGGCTGCACAAGGTCCAGCTATTCTCATAGACCTTTGGTGGGTGACTGTTTAATGACATGTTTAACAATATGTTCTACTTGGTTTGCCATGTTCTGATGCTACCCTCAAATACCTCATCCACATACACAAAGCACGTTAAAACAGAATATGTGGAAGTATAAAACATTTTATAAAAGAATCTTTCAGGCCGAAACCGGTTTGGCTCAGTGGATAGAGCGTCGGCCTGCGGACCGAAGGGTCCCAGGTTCGATTCCGGTCAAGGGCATGTACCTGGGTTGCGGGCACATCCCCAGTGGGAGATGTGCAGGAGGCAGCTGATCGATGTTTCTCTCTCATCGATGTTTCTAACTCTCTATCTTTCTCCCTTCCTCTCTGTAAAAAAATCAATAAAATATATTTAAAAAAAAAAAATCTTTCAGATAACTTGAGTTTTTGAAAATATATTAAAAAGTGTAACCAAGTCTTCAAATTTCTCCATTAATAAAATGAATTCAGGATATCTGCTTTAAAGGTTATAAAAATTTAAACTTAATATTATCTATTTTTTTACACTCCCAGGATTTAGACTCACACCAAAGATTCACTTGGGTCATATAGTACTAATCAAGAATGATATATTAGGGTAAAATATCTGACACCCACTTCAGATCAAATTTGACCATTTAAAAAATTAAGTTCCTAATACTACTTATTAATCCATCACTGAATTCAAGAATTACTAGGACCTGATATATAAAAAGAGTAATTTTATTAATCCAAATGACTGGGGCATGAAGTACCTGGGACAACAGATTTGTAAAGAGGCATAGTAGTGAGAGTAGAAGATTATAATAAAAGGGTAATATGCTAATTAGATCAGATGTCCTTCCAGACAACCTTCTGGAAGCTGGGGCTGCGAAGGAAGCCCGGGTCCCGGGTGCCTGCTGGCGGCTGGGGGAAGGAAGGCCTACTCTTACAATAATTTTGTGCATCGGGCCTCTAGTAGTTTTATAAGATCCTTAATGTTTATTTACCCCTTAATACTACTTTTATGGAGGTATAATTTATAGACTAAATTTCCAGGTTTCAAGTGTAGAATTCAATGAGTTTGAAAAATGCATACACCTATATAACCCAAGGAAGATAGTGAACCTTCCAAAAAGTCCCCTGTACCCTGTGCACACACAGCTGTCACCTAAATGATTATGCACAGAGTAGCATATGAAGCCATAAAATAGAATAAAAAAAATTATGCATTCTTTATGAAAAGCTCTCCAAGATTTATCATTAAAGTCAACAAAAGCAAGCTATATAACTGTTCATAGTATGTGTTGAAAACTTTGTTAAAAAAAGAAAATAGTATATATGCTGCTTAAATATGTATAAAAGTAAACTAATATTGTGCTGTGAGGAGTTAGAGATGGATGACTAGAGGGCCCGGATTGGAGGGAGATTTATTACTCTATACCCTTTAATAGATCTTAAATTTTAAAGAAAGGGAATGTATTATCTAGTCAACAAAGTTAAGGTGGTAGAAAAAGTATTTCCATTAAAAAGTACAAATTAAAATAACTATTTTTACCTATTATTATTGTTGTTACTATTATTATTATTGTATCCAAAGCTGGTAATGAAAAGCACTACTGTGTAATGTAAGCAATAACTATAACTAGTATCTTTAATCTTAACTACAATTATGTTGACATAGTAATTCCAATTTTAATCTGCCTTAAAAATAATCAGAAATAGAGACAGACCAATTATAGTATTCCCTTCTCAGCTAACTACTGTGGAAAGAATAAAATGAAAAATAATAAAAAATAAAAATTTAAATATAAATAAAATAAAGGGGGTCCTAATATATGGTGATGGGAGAACATTTGACTTTGGAAAGTGGGCACACAGTGGGTAAACAGATCTTGTAACATAAAAATCTACACCTGAAACCTATATGTTCATATTGACCAATGTCACCCCAATAAATTTAATAAAAAAAGAAAACATTAAAAAATACAAAAATAAAATATATAAAAATACCTATTATTTTCTTTAATTATCCATGTACTGCTTTCATGATCAACAGATGAATGGAGCTTTCCTTCCAAAAACCTCTGACCCTTCAGCACAATGTTAACATGATCAGGCAAAAACTGTACTTGAATGTCCTCCTTAGTAGTCTCTTCTGGAAGCCGTATCATGACAGTCAGATCCTCTTCAGTCTGTTGCCAGTAATACAGAGGCTCTATAGGGGGAAAAAATGCATCTATAATAATAAAAGTGTAATATGCTAATCAGACTGGACGTCCTTCCTTCTGGACAAAGCCACAGCGGGCGGGAGGCGAGACAGAGGCGGCAGTGGTGGGCGGGGGCCGGGGCCAAGGCCCTTGCACAAATTTCGTGCATCGGGCCTCTAGTTATGTAACTAGAAAGTCAGATAACAGACATATAAAATTAGAGATTAGGAGATACAAAAGAAAACCTATCTAAAAGAAACAGCATCTTTTCTAGTGATCTCACAAAAAAAGTAATTATAACCAAACATACAGAGATCTCTGAGGAATTTTCAGTTATAGCAATTGCACTTGTCGTTTTCCTCTTCCAGGTTTACCTAATATTCATAAAATACTGACAGCCCATTCCTCTCTCCTTGCCTCTCAGTCCTTCTCTTAAATATTGTGAAAATCTCTATTAAAAACTACGATATTCTCTGGCTATAAACATCAGAAATATGAACAGTAGTGTTTATAGAGGGGATATTTTTATATTGATCTTTTGATGTATTTATGTATCTTTTGAATACAGTCTCAGTCTCCACAGAAAACAATCAGTGATTATACCTTCAAGGAACTTCCTTTCAGTTTAGTAGAAAAGGTATGCACTTAAAATAAACAGAGTTGAGCTTACTATAAAAAATTAATATTCTTAATGCTAATATGCCAGTTTCTCAAATGCCAAGAAATAGGCATTATTTACTCTTTTGCCAAGTTTTTATTAAACATTTAATCACATAAGCTAATATATATACAAACATTTTTGGTAATTATAAAATTATTAAATTAAACTAGTTTCCACTATTTAGGTGGTATATTTTACAAAGATTGTTCTGGTAACTATAAAAGAAAATAAAAAAGAAATAATTAAGCACTATCTTGACCTGGTAAAACCTATAACCTATAAGGGCAGATAAACTAGACAAACATATATATACATATAAATACACATGAACTGTATGAAGATGAAAAGTAAAATTACCTTTGATTTTATCTGACATGTCTTCATCCTTCTTTTCTTCAACATCTTGACCAACTGGAACGAATGTGAAGGACTTGTAGGAGACGATCATTAGACCATTCCCATCAGGCTCAATCGCAGCATAATGGGGCACTGACTTTCCACGGAGACTATCACGCTTAATAATTTCATATTTTTTATTATCTGAAAGAATATTATGTATTTTCTGAACAAAAATTACAAATAAAAAACTATATTATAAAAATATTTTGAAAATATGTATATGTTAATTTCAATTCAAACTAAATATTTTAAATGTACTATTAAAAGGCATTCTATTTAGTGTCTTTATAGATAAAAAATATTGACCACCTAATATTCTGTAAATAAATCCCAAATTTAATATATTGGATTTAATAAAAATTGTTCTAGATTGTGCTATCCAATGTGGTAGCTACTGATCACAACTGGCCATTTAATTAAAATTAAGTAAAATGGGAAATTCATTTCCTTAATCATACTAGCCTCATTTCAAGTGCTCAACCACCACACAAGCTAGCCGCTATCACACTGAATGGCATATGTATAAAACATGTCCTTCTTACAGAAATTTCTATAGTGCTGGGGTCCTGCCCCAGCAGGTCCAGGGGTCCCCAAAGGTGTAGACGGAGTCGGCGAAGAAGGAATGATGCGGAGACAGTGTTCAGTTGATCAGCAGCCTAGCCAGGATCTCCAGCCAAATTCTGGTCTGGATCTCCAGAGAGGTTCTGCTTAGGATCTCCTGCCAGGGTCTGTGTCCATGTTCTCTTGCTAGGTTCTCCAGGTTCTCCAGCCAGGCTCTGTAGCCATGTTCCCTCGCTAGGTTCTCCAGCCAGGTTCTGTCCAGGTTCTCCAGCCAGGTTCAGTTACCAGGTTCTAGTCATGTTCTCTTGCCAATTTCTGTAGTCAGGTTCAGTCCAGGATCTTTTGCCATGTTCTCTCACTAGGTTCTGTCTCTAGGTTCTGAGGCCAGTTTCTGTCCAGTATCTTTTGCCATGTTCTCTCCAGCGAAGTTCTTCTGTCTCTAGAGAACGTTCTGTGTAGGTTCTGTACCTCCTGGTTCTGTCTTCTTCTGTTCTGTGTTCTAAGCTCTGTATTCTAAGTTCTGTGTCTTGCTGTCTTATTACATCTGTATTTATACCAGTTGATTCAATCCTATCAATCTCTATTACAAAGGTTAGGGCGTTTCTTATCTCCATTCCAGGGAGTAAAGATTATGTAGCTTAAGCATGATTGTTCGTAGTTAAAGTGATTAATTACCCACCTGGCACTAGTTAAGAGGTTTTATTCCCTCCCTAACTTCAGGGGAAAATCCCTACCTGGGGAACAACCTTTCTCAGAGACCTTGGTTAAAACACATAGTGCCAAGAAGGTGAGCAAACATATTAAGAACAGTATGCCATATATGCCAGGTCCCTTGAAACAGCAAGGATGGACCGGCTCCCGGCACTATAGGACAGCCGTGCTCCAGATTATGAAAGTGACTGACTTACCCAAAATACCCAAAATTTTTATTATCTAAAAATCCTCTGAAGGATCCACCTTTTCCTTGACTACAGCCTGTCTACTTTCCTAGCAAGTGTATGATAGGCATCTTCTGAAAAGAGCCACAAGTTGAGGATAAGGGAAAAAGTGTGGTGTGGACTATTTTTCTGCCCATTCTACCGACTGATAAGGGGTTTTATTAAAATAAAATATGTTTAAGGTAGAAATGATTTTTATGTACACCCAGATATATATATTTATATGCCTATAATAATCAAACATAAAAAATTGTACTTAGAATTTTTAAGATATAAATAACTGTATTCTAAAGTGTCTGGTAAATTAACTAAATTTATTCTCCTATGAAAATACATTATTTTTGCTTTTAAAAGAACCCAAACATTTTAGTTGAGTCCATAACTTTACTTACACTATTACTCTATTAAAGTGGGTTCTACTTGTAAGCTTCACACTGAACAGTCAAAATTGTAACTCAATGTCATCTGAGTTATACATAATAGAATCTATTCTAAAATATCAATTATTGTTTTTGCTCTAAACTTTCATCTACATTCACACATTTATTGCATGCATATTTAAGAATAAACATTTCATTTCATGAATTAAAAACTCTTATTTTTTCTACACAGGTACATGCAGGGCAAAGAGTCCTCTTTAAAGACTCAAAGTTAGACATTGTATATCTTATCATGTATAGGACAGAAAATAATAGGTAAGTGAAATCCATGGTTAAATAAGTAGGGAAAGTCTAGATTAAAATTAAATTTTCTTTTTTACTCAAAATGTTTAGAAACTTTAATATGCTTAATGTGTAATGGAGATACAGTATGCCCACATTTTAAAACCAACTTGACCACAAAATATAATTCATTAAATGATCCACTCACACAGCTTAGAAAAACACTGTCCTGTTATATTCACTTAAAAATAAAGTGAAAACTAGCACAATTACATTAGTAATAGGAGGGAAAAAGGAATGCGACATTATAAACGAAAATTAAAGTAGCCCTAGCCCCGTGGTTGGCAAACCACGGCTCGCAAGCCACATGCGGCTCTTTGGCCCCCAGGCATGGGCCACGAAGTTTCAATCGCACTGTACGTGCGTGCCCGCAGGTGGTATTTTGTGGAAGAGTACCTTCAAGGGGCCAGTTTGCCAACTACTGCCCTAGCCAGTTTGGCTCAGTGGTTGGAGCATCGTCCTGCGGACTAAAGGGTCCCAGGTTTGATTCTGGTCAAGGGCAGGTAGGTACATCGGTAGCAGCCTCGATCTCCGGCATGTGGGAGGCAACCAACTGATGTGTAGACACATCAATGTTTCTGCCTGTCCTCCTCACTTCCACTCTCTTTAAAAATCAATGGAGAAAATATCCTCCGGTGAGAAATAACAACAACAAAAAGATAAAGTAAACCACAGAAAGAATGTTTCTATCATAACAATAATTAAAACTAGTTTTGGGGAGAAAAAAAGAAAGGTAAGTCTAAATATATCTATCTAGTTGAGGCATGAAAAAAAGATGAAGGGAAAAGAGGTGACAGAGATAGAGCCATGTGCTCTGAGGCATTCTGTTAAAAATTCCTGTGGACTGAGCTGAAGTTGTCATGGAACCAAGTGTCTTAAAGAAAAAAAGGGACATGCATGAGACTTTCTTCAGTAGAATGTTAATAAGCAACTTAATTAAAAAATAAAGCTTCTATTTTCTAAAGCAGGGATTTGCACAGCCTATATTTCCACAACAAATTTTTTCAAAGAATAAATTTTCTATTTTTAAATGGTTAAAAAAAATCAAGAGAATACTATTTAAGTACATGTAAAAATCACATAAAATCCAAATGTCAATACCAATAAAGTATTATTGGAATACAACTACACTCATTCATGTATTGTCTGGCTGCTTTTGCACCATGTGACACACATCATATGGTTACCATCTAGCCCAGCAGTTCTCAACCTGTGGGTTGCGACCCCTGAAAATACATCCTGCATATTAGATATTTACATTACGATTCACAACAGTAGCAAAATTACAGTTATGAAGTAGCAACAAAAATAATTTTATGGTTGGGAGTCACCACAACATGAGGAACTGTATTAAAGGGTCACGGCATTAGGAAGGTTGAGAACCACTGAATTCTAGCCATTTATAGAAAACATTTCCCAACACCTAATCTAAAGTTTTAAGACACTGTGCTCCTCCAGAGATGAAACTACAACACTGGGGGGTAGAAAAACAAATTATATCAAATACTTGTCAAAAAAATCTAGTAAATTTATTTAGCTTACTTATAAACTATTCTGATTATATATACACTAGAGGCCCGATGCACAAAATTCATGCAAGAGTAGGCCTTTCTTCCCCCGGCTGCTGGCACCGATTTCCCTCTGGCACCCAGGACCTAGGCTTCCCTCGCAGCTCCAGCTGCATCTGGAAGATTGCCTGGTAAGATGTCCAGTCTACTTAGCATATTACACTTTTATTACTATAGATACACACACACACACACACACACACACACACGCCCATGTATGTATATACACATATATAATCATATATACATGTAGTTCATCCTACTTAATAAAGACAGAATATGCAAACTGACCATCACAAAGATGGCGGCACCCATAGCCACAAGATGGCAGCACCCAGTCCCCTCAGCCCTGACAGAGTCCCACAGTCCCTTCAGCCCAGCCGGGGGTGGCAGGTGCACAGTGTGGCCAGACCCGCCCTCAGCCCCCAGCCGCCCAGGGCCGGCCCGAGGCACAGGCAAGCCTCAGATGGTAGCTGCCCAGCCAATGCCCTAGGCACAGGCAAGCCTCGGATGTGGGCTGCCCAGCCGCCTAGGGCCAGCCTGAGGTGCAGGCAAGCCTCAGATGGCGGCTGCCCAGCTGACACCCGAGGCGCAGGCAGGCTTTGGATGGCGGCTGCCCAGCTGCCCAGGGCCGCCTGAAGCTCAGGTATCCAGGGCCAGTCGAGGCTTTGCCCTGGCCCCAATAGCAGCAGCAGAGGTGTGATGGGGGCGTCGACTTCCCCTGATGGCTGGGTCGCCTCCCGCCCCTGAGGATTCCCGGACTATGAGCAGGCCGGACTGAGGGACACCACTCCAGTGCATGAATTTTCATGCATCGGGCCTCTAGTTTTAAAATAAAAAAGCTCTCTCAGAAAAAAATGCTAATAACCTTTATCAGATTGGAAACTAGCAGCTATGGTAAGAAATCTTTTTCTATAGAGATCAATTTAATGATAATTTAAAACTGATAAGTTAAATAAGTAGGTTAATAAAAACTACTGAGAAAAATACCAGATTCATGGAAACAAGCTCCCTTAGTGCTAAACTACAGTAAAAAAATCACTTGGTGAGTAAGAGTGAAACATTGGCAAAAAGCTAGGCCACAACATGAAAGGAATTCTAATTAATAAAAGAAAAAGTAATTTTTAATGTCCAAGTTAGTAGTTTGACAGTTAAACAGAATGAAAGTGAGGACTTTCCTACACATGAAAGCACTTTGGGTGAGAAAAAAATAAGAGTTTTCCTGAGGGTAGAAACAAATGGCAATGTCCAATTTTATTGAAAAGAAATCATAGTTGTGATTTAATAACTAAAGATATTCAATTCCATATATTTAATTTATATTTCAATTATACTGTGATTTATAATTAATTTACATTTAGTTTTATATTCAGAGTGAGGCAAAGGTAGGTTTACAGTTTATTCTTGTATTATTTATTAATTATTGTATTATTTTTCCATATGAACCATAAACCTTTTGTCTCACCCTGTAAATATAAATTTTTGCACATGTGTATATGTGTACATGTACACATATATTCTTATATATATTAAAAATATACACTTTAATTTCTTCAAAAATTATGTAACAATGTCTCCTTTTATACAAAAACAGCATAATTGACTGGGGAAGCACATTATTATTTTTTTATAAGGAAAAACTATCTATAGATATTCATTCCACTGGATGGCACATACTAGAATCATAACCCAATATCGAAGAAAACACAAACAGCATTTATAGGAACAGCTTTGCGCTTGAAACTTACTAAATTACGGCAACCAGTATGGAGAGTCAGAGTATGTTATGTTTTACCTTTATTTTTCCTACTGATAGTGACCCACTCCAAAGAAACAAAGAAACCACTTCCTTTCATGTCCAATTCTTCTTTCTCTATTCGAAGAAGCAGGGTAGCTATTGAATGTTCTTCAGCTTTCAGCAATGAGATACTGTGAATTATGATAAAAGGATCCCCTAGCTCTTCATTAAACATAATCTAGAAAAGAAAAGTGACACATACAAAAGTGTATATATTACATGAATGCAGATAGCAGAGGTAATACATAGAATTCTGACAATCCAACAACTAATCTCGATACTATTTATTACAAGAAACACAAAATCTTAAAAAGCCTTTAAATAAAGGTTGCAACTTTAAATAGGATTCCTTGAAGAATTTGTAAAATATATTTGTTTTGTTTAACAGAGAAAACAGATCAGCACTCTTGGCTTAAAAACAAAACAACAGGTCATACAAGCAGCATCTAAAGGAGAAAGAACTAAAAGCAATCTCCCAGAAATGAATTATCAAGTGAAAACAGTGCTCTGTACAAAAAGAGAAGACTTGAGCAGGTTAACACTATTATTCCTCCATCTCTTCCGCTATCTCATATATGATTTATTTCTGCTTTCTTTCTCTCAGTGTCTGGATACCAGGCATGCATGTATATGTGCATGTGTACTTTTTTTCCTATTTTTATTTTTGGTTTATCTGTGTTTTCTGAAAGTTTACAAAAAGTCAAAGGCATTGGAAAACAAATCATTAAAACTTTCTTACTTCTCAAAAACAAAAGAACCGATTACATTTAAAAGGTATAATTCAACCATATTTAATATGTAATACTAAATTTGCTTATAAAAAGAAATCTAGGCATCATATAAAGATGCAAAATCTTATCAAATTCTTTTTTATACTAAACAACCTAAAAGACTATATTTTTATTAGAGTAAATACTAAAAAGTTTTTTAAGACTGATTTCTAAACAAATTTTCAAATAAATGAAAAAAGTAGTTGAAAAAAATACCTAACTAAGAAACAAAAATCAGCTCCTTTTTTATTTTTTAAACCTATATCTGGAATGCCCTCATGTCTGCTTCTACTTGAATGCCTTACAAAGAAAAGTGTGCTTTAATGTCAATTTCCCTATTGAGCAACTGTGTCCATATTATTCAAATAGGAGACTTTGGTATCCATTCTATAAGTCTTCCATAAGCAGAAAAACAACAACAAACTCAAATACTCAAAACAGAAAGGATAAAGACAGGATATTTGTTGGTTGATTAGATTTTGGTTTTGTTTGGGGGACAGGAGAGACAGAAGAGAAGGAAAAATAGTAAATTTGCCCTGGCCAGTGTGTCTCAGTTGCTTATGTGTCTTCCCACACACTGAGAGGTCACCAGTTCCATTCTCACATGCCTGGGCTGTAGGCTTGATCCCCAGTAGGGGACGTGTGCAAGGCAGCCTATAGCTGTTTCTCTCTCTCACTAATGTTGCACTAACTCCCTCTCTCGCATAAATAAACAAACAAACAAACAAACAAACAAACATATTAAAGAAAAAGAAAAAATAGTAAGTTTTGCCAGGTACAGGTAGCTAGCTTATTCTTTCCTCCTCTTCCTCATATGCAGGAAAGGGATTGGAATGACACCAGAGGGGTAGATGTCTGGACTTTTAAATATTGTCAGACTCAAGTTTCCAAACTTCTGAACAAGCCCAGCAATTCAACTATGATATTGTTGATATATAGCACCCTGTAATATTAGAGGCAACATGTTTGGAAAGCAGGCAGTGTTCCTGTCTTATTTCTTTCTACACTTCAGTCATCACCATCAGCTCTACTATACCACCAACCACTCCCACCTTTAGCTTCCTCTCTGTTACACCAAATCTCCCAAAGTCCTAAAACTCTCCCAAGTTGTTTCCCTTAAAGTGACCGGTATTCCATAGTATCCCTCCCACCCAGGTAATGCCCAAGTCCCATCTCTTTACTACTCCTGCCAATCCCCAGTCAAAACTATGACCTAAAACATCTTGTCACAGCAATGTACATTGAAGACGAAGTAGATTTAAATTTTTTATTGATTAAAAAAATAGTTTTGAAGGCCAAATATGTGCCAAGGGGATATATACAGCAGAAACCAAATGAATTATAAACCCATATGAATTTCCTTTCTAGCTAAACACGCAGTGTTATTTTAAGCTGAAGGCATTTCTCTTCCTGCTCAAAGTCAACAGAATCAATACAGCTTTATTCCAGATAAATTCTCATTCATATATTTCCTCCCCATCCTTCTCCAAACTCCTTCCAACTATTTCAGGTAACTGTGTTATAATACCACATTGCCTCTGTTAAAAAAAATAAAAAAATAAAAAGCTATTACAGGAGGCCACAGCAGAAAATGTCACAATGTCCAATGAATATTTGAAACTGTGACTGCAAAGGCAATCTGGCAAACAGGATATTATTGTTCTAGTCATATATTGTGTGTTTTGTTTAGTTTTTTTTAAAACATAATACAATTTGGCATTATACCATTTAGTGTAACTTAGTAAGAAAAGTAAACCATTTTGTTCTAAAACCTTCTTGATTTTTCTCAAATAATTAAAGCCTTGATAAGCATCTGTTCATCTCATAAAATATTTTATAAAATGTAAATATATGAAGTACATATCTCTTTTTCTACCCACAACAAAAGGCCACCTGTTGAAATTCAGACAGTTGCAATATCACAATACTCTTTTTAGTATAACTCAGTGTCAATATTTTCCACTTTCAAAAACTGTGGCTCTAGAGAAATTAATTCCTTATATTACCTGCTCCTCAGATTTAAATCAGTTGTGTTAAGAAAACTGAAATTAAAATGGCATCTTAGAGATTGTCACATTCCTATATTTATGTTATAATGTATATTTCTAAGTAGGAAATACTCTGGTAAACATACTGGACAGCAAGCAGAGTGGTGCAATGGAAACATGCTAGGCCCATAAATGTATCAGCAAATATAACATGAGCACAGGAGAAAAGATATGCTAATGTAATTTTTTGGCGAACTCTTCTTCAGAAGAAGGCAATGTCAATGTTTAGCGTACTGCTTTACATCTATAAAACACTCAATAAATATTTGCTGAAAAAAAATGCAATTTTTGACAACTGCATTGACCCCAGATTAAAACAGGGAATGGTTAACATATCAGTTTTGTAAAGGACATACATTTTATAATTTAATTAAAAAGATATTCAAAATTTCTATATTATAAAAGGCCTGTGGCCCTAACGCCGTAACGACCAAAGACTGGCGCGGGTGCGTGGGGTTGTGAACACAGTGAGGCTGCACAGGTGGGAGGGGCCACGTGATTTCGCACGCTGGGCTTCTAGTCTATATATATAAAAACCTAAGTGACCTTTAGGAACAAACGACCGGAACGACCAGTCAACCAGTAGCTATGATAAGCACTGACCACCAGGGGGCAGACGCTCAATGCAGGAGCTGCCCCTGGTGGTCAGTGCACTCCCACAGCCAACATCCTGGGGCCCCTTCCCCCTAACCGGCCAACCTCCTGCGGTCCCTCCCACTGGGCCCCAATGAGGGGGCCGGCAGGCCAACTTCCCATGGACCCTCCCCCCAGCCCGCTGGGCCCCCTGATAGGCCTCGATCGCCGGCCAGGCTGAGGGACCCCATCTGTGCATGAATTCATGCACCGGGCCTCTAGTATATAATAAAAACCAAGAAGTCACATACAAACTATCCCTAAAGAGTGTTATTTCAAAATCACTAAGGTCTTACTATTTATATATTCTTCCCAGCTTTTGCATAAAAGAACAAAAAACACACCTCACCTCCCATTTTTCAGAAGCACTATTTCCACGTTCGCCTGTTGCAATGAGATATAATCTTCCAGTTCCATCTGACAAGGTGACCCAGGTAGAAGATGTGAAATGGATAGATGCACAAAGGCGATTGTCGTACGCTGTCAAATCTGTAGGAAGTCGAAATACCTCTAGTGGTTTTCCTAAGGCAGTGTCCTAAAAAGAAGACAGATAGTACAAATGAATCCCTCCCTCTCTCCTTGGTCCATACACACACAGAACTAATATCTGCAGTGTTCCTCTCCTCAAGGGAAGGCAACTAACGGCCCTCCCTTGGAGTACTACTGGCTTACTTCTAATAAAATATGGCAGAAATGATGGTTATGTGACTTCTCCTTCTCCGACTAGGTCATAAAAGACTGCATCTCCGTGCTCTCTCTCGAACAGCACGTGGTCGGCCCACCTGGGGAAGAATTGGGAACTCTTGACAATAAGCATCCTGTGAGTGAGTCACCTTGGGAGTGTATCCTTCAACACTAGTCAAGCCTTCGGATCACTGCAGTCCTGGCAGACGTCATCCTTAACTACAATTCCATGAGAAACTTTGAGACAGAACCAGCTAAGCCCCTCGCTAATTTCAGTGAGACGACAAATGCTTATTGTTTCAAGCCACTAAGGTTTTTTAAATTAAAATATAGTTAACATACAAAATTATATTATAGGCGTACAGCACAGTTATTCAATACTTACATCTACCTAATGACATGATCATGATAAATCATTAAATAAAGTTGTTTCACAGAAATATGTAGATAACTAACATAAAGCAGTAATCTAGTCTTTATTCTTAAGTTTAGAGTTATGATCAGCATTTTTAATTAGAAATACCGCATCATGTTCTAAATTCCTAACATAGACATCAGCCTGTGGTATGAAAACATCACATTTAGACTATTAACTTAGGCTTTTGTCAACACATTTTTATTATGTCCATGTCCTCATAATTTAGATGATGTCATCATGTTAGATGGATTGCATCATTAAAATGTTTTACAAGAAAATATATAAAAAGGCCTACAATTCAGAAAATAAACTTCCTCTCATACAGTGTGCTCAATAATTTTGGGTTGTTGTTTTATTTTACAGTGAACAGTTTTTCAACAGGACAAACATACTCCTAGATTCATTTCACTCCCGGCTCCTAGAACTGTTTAGATAGTGTATATAAGATTTAAATAAACTATATTAAATATCCTTACCAGCCTCAAGTTTTTTAATTAGCCATTGTTTCTAAAGCATAAAATTTAATTTTCTTTGAAACAGCACCTTCCCTTCTTTTTGTACTCATATTTCAGTGATTTACATAACAGTGAATTAAATGCTTCAATAACAAACACAGCGGCATAAAGTTTTTAGAATGACCAAATCCTCCCCTCAGGTCACCTAATACAAGCCCAATCTTATAATAAGTCCTTTCTAACATCCTTTTACTGAGACGCTCCTGTTCCCCTGGGTGTGCATTCTCCTTTGAGGCGAAAAGTAATAAATCCAAATAAGTGTTAAGTATTCACATACGGACATAAAAAGATCTCCAAGATAATGACTGAAAAAAGAGATGCAGAATGCATACAGTAAAATATGTTAAAATAAACAAATGGTTTGATTTGATAGCACTGAGTAAGGTGTAGACAGACATGTGCTAGCATATTAGTAATGTTTATCATTTGAAAGAAAAATAAGATTGGATTGAGACTGGTGGTAGGGGAAAATGGGGGTTATGGGAAAGTTTCCTTTTTGCTTTAATTAACTGCTTGACTTTATTTCCCTGAGCAATTTAAGTGTAATAGACATAAGTTAAAGATATTAATAAAATAGAATGAGACTTCTTGTTCAAACAGTTTTTTCAAAGTAAGGTTTTCTAGTGATCTCCATACACACCCTTCTTGGCATCTCACCTAATGAGTCCTTATTAGGAAGGAGGGAGGGCTAACGTTAAGTCACTATTCTTCATTTCTTACCTAATTATTAAGGTTATTTTAAGTCATTTTCTTTTAAATACAAGGTTACACATGACTGAGATTTCTAGAAGTCTAACAGATAAATTAGTGCAATATTCAACAGAATGATTAAGATAGTCAAATACGTATTTGTGAAGCCAAATTAAATTAAAATACAAGAGAAAACACACAGACTCTCTCTTAAATGATAGTTTAAGTGAAAGCAACATGAATAGTCCTGATTTTTAAAATCTATTTCTGAAAGGGTACATTGCAATTTTTAAATGGACTGTACACAAAAAAAAAATTTCCTCCTATAACATATTAATAAATCGTAAGTTACAGTATTAAATTATTTTTTAATAACCTCCACTGACAGTTTTACAAAGTGTTCTCACAATAACACTTTATGTAATTGGCATCTATAATGTCCTGGTCCCACCTGATCTTTTTCTTCTTCTAAACAAAAAATGGTAATGTAACTATGTTCAAGGCTACTAAAAATCATTCGGAGGAAACATTTCACAGGTGAATTGCAAAAGAATTAAAATTCCATTGATAATAAAACAGGGAATGGCTATCATGTAAAAGCACTGTATTAAATAAGTGCTCTGACTTTTTACCATCTTATTTAATTGTTAACAAAACCTGACGAAGTTGAAATTATTATCCCCCCATTTTAAGAAGATAAAGAGCTCTGTTTCCAAAGATTAAATAATATGCCTGGGTCTCCCAGAAAATGACAGCGCAAATTTCAAAAAATGGCTAATGTTCTTTCCCGTATTCCACACTTTCTTGAAATGAACCATTTCCCAAGTTTTTCTAAACAAATGATACCTCAGACCTCACTGCAATTTATAGAATATTCCACCCCCCAAAATCCCACTATGAATACAACTACTATATTCAGTTTCTCTTCACGTTAATATATTTTTAAAAATATATTTTTACTGATTTCAGAGAGGAAGGAAGAGAGAGAGATAGAATCATCAATGATGAGAGAAGAATAATTGATAGGCTGACTCCTACATGGCCAATACGAGGGTTCGAGCCCGCAACCTGGGCATGTGCCCTTGACTGGAATCGAACCTGGGACTCTTCAGTCTGCAGGCCAACGCTCTATCCACTGAGCCAAATCAGTTACGGCTTCATGTTAATATATTATTCAGTATTTTTATTAGATTTCTGAGTCAATAAAACATAACAAAAATTATAATGTCTACACATTGTATATAAATGACTATAAGTAAATAGTAAATAAGTATTGATGTTATATAAATAGTTTAGGGGTCTCTTAAATTCATTTACAAGGAGACAAGCTTTGAACTAACAAAACATTTTTCTAACATTTATAGAAAGGGTTACTCGAGTTTAAAAAAATGGTCAAGCAGAATTAAATAAGAGTACCATTTACTAGTATTATTAGACACTGACATTTAAAATTTTGCCCTTTTAAAAGGAAGTGATCTTTTTCTGGAGAAAGGCTTTCATCACTAATAATTTTTAACTTTACTTGAAAAAAATCTTCCTCTCCTTTTTTGTGTGCTAAGGCTTTAAAAAAAGGTATTTCTAATTTATTGCTATTAGACTAAGTAATGTTGCTCCATAACATAACCAGACAGTACCAAGAACTTACTCCTTTAACTTTTTTAACTAGGAAAATTAATGGCTCCATATTAACAAACTCATCCATAGAAAATAGGCTGAGATTCAGATCTAGAGAGGAACATACTGGCACACATTTTAGCTGGACTAACAAATTGTTGTGACCTGTCACTCCAAGGCACAGCCTCACAAATGCATGCTTACAAAAGGAATCCAGTAACCTTGCCTGAATTGTTAAGTACAATTTAAAGATGCACCACAAAATGACACTCTTCTAATTGGCAGAAACTAGTTTTTCAGGTAAATGGAAAACAACATTATGACAGAATTTCCTAAATAATAAGAAAATGATGAGATTAAAATAAGCCATAATACCGTAATAAAACGAAATAAAAACTAAATTTTAAACACTTTTTTTGCTTCCCTAAAGCATTTTCTATTTCCTAAGTATTCTTCCTCCCAATTGACATTTCTCTAAAATTGTAAACCCACAAATTAAACTGACTTAGAAGTATAATGCCTCTATAAATCTGTGTTGAAATGCCGCCACCTGCTGGTTCCTGACAAAATCTAAAGTCCAAATAATGGGTGAATTTCCTTTCATAAGCCCCACAAGCCTTCACTGTAACCACAATGATGTTTTGCCTAGACCAGCCTTGGGCGAACTACGGCCCGCGGGCCAGATCCGGCCCGTTTGAAATGAATAAAACTAAAAAAATAAAAATAAAAAAAGCCGTACCCTTTTATGTAATGATGTTTACTTTGAATTTCTATTAGTTCACACAAACACTCCATCCATGCTTTTGTTCTGGCCCTCCGGTCCAGTTTAAGAACCCACTGTGGCCCTGAGTCAGAAAGTTTGCCCACCCGTGGCCTAGACTTAACAAGGTGGTCCTTTGTACACCAGGCACAGGAAAAGAGCCTCTCTGGGACTGGAGCATGTGTGACTCTGACTTAAAAAAACAAAAACAAAAAACAAATAAAAAACTCCCCACGAAAACCAGACAATAAAATGAATATTAGAACAACTGTTTTCTGCTATTAAAAACCCAATGTGTAGAGAGTGGTTAATAGTCTCCACCTGCCCCACACACAGAACTTCAAAGAGCAAATAGGGATGTTTTTGCTCATCAGAAAAATAAGAAGAAACAAGTGTGGCATTATTCTGTACCACCGCCAAGTGCACGTTTTCAAAACCTGGTCCCTGAAATAAGGCAAAACCATCTGAGGTGCCGTATAAAATGCAGATTCCCAGGCCATGACCAACCCTGACATACTGAATCAGAATCTTTGGGAAAAGTTAATCCGACGTTAGTTTTTTTTTTGATCAGTTGCTCCCAGTGATTCTGATGTGTAATACAATTTAAAAAACAAAGACAAAACTGAATTAAACAGAAAAAAAGACTAAAACAACCCCAAACATAGTTCTTAAAACATCAAATAGTAATAATACCTTCTAAAGTTTGGTTAAGGAAAAACAGAGAGGAAAAAAAAAACAAACAACAATCTTAAGAGCATCATATGCATGCAACTTTACAGGAACAAATCTGAAAGCTTAAGAGGAAATGGATGATTTCCCTAGCAAAACAAAACAAAATTACAAAATTACCCAAG